AGTGTACGATTAAATTAGGGGCATCACATAATGTTACTCTTATGAAAATTTGTTTATGGGTTTAACGTAATCAGCCAATTGGAGGATTTGGATTAGAGATTGGGGGAGGAAGAGGTTCACCCCCTCAAAATTCGGGGGGAGGAGAGTTTGTTAGGAACATTACGATAAGAGTTGGATGTAATCCCTCTGTTTGTTTTTATAAGACGTTTCAGATAGCTTTGCTTTGTACTGTTTTGGACTGTGTTTGAATGTCTGAAACGTCTTATAAAAATGAAGAGAGGTAGTAGCATTTTTGGTTTGTTGGGTACCGTTGGTGCTTAAAGTGAGCAGCTCCAGCTGATGGACTATCATTGCGCCAAATGGCACACTTTGACCTTTCAGTCTTGCTGTCTTAGGATCCCTTTAATCCTTTGACTGCCATGGTTACATTTGAAAAACAATGAGAAGTAATCTACTGGCACCGGAGTAGGAGTAGTACAGATGGAATGTACTTGATGCACACATGTGGCTATCATGGAGATCTGCACCGCACACATGCGTGTGGGTGATTAGTTACTCCCTAGTCCAGATTGAAAATTGTTTTATTATGCTTAAGCTGGTCCTAGACTTGCAATGTCTGTCTGGTCTGAATCTGGCTGGATCTGCCAGTGGAATAGGATCAGACAAGAATAGAATACTCGATCGAATCGGTACTTCTCCATCCAGCGCACACGTCTCCTTCATTTCATGATGATAACCGAGGAGACTGGCAAACACAGATTACAGAGCAAACCCATCATCATCAATTCGATTCATGTAGAGTACGGTACTAACTGGTACTCCCTCCGTTCCTAAATATAGGTCTTTCTAGAGGTTTCAACAAGTGACTATTTACGAAGCAAAATAAATGAATCTATATTCTAAAATATGTCTACATACATCCGTATATGGTAGTCCATTTGAAATCTTTAAAAAGACTTATATTCAGGAACAGAGGGAGTACTACAGTACTACTGATACTGCGACTCAGGTGGAGTAGTAGCATGAGTAAATCAGTGGACAAAGCAGGCCTCCGAACGCGCGGTCGCAAACGGACCGTCGTCCGTTTTCTGTCCGTTTTCGACTCATTCCCCGGCCCAAGTTTGGACCGAGTTTACGGTCGAACAGACACACGCGGACGGCGTGTGGCACCTGCCCATGTCTTCCCCTGTGGCTGAAGCATATCCCTTCAGGACTCACGGCCGCTCGATCAGCGGGCTGCTGGACATGGTGAAGATATGTCCACGAAATGGAGATCTGTCGTGGTCAGCATGAGACTAGTTTTAGCCTAGTCCGATATAGTATAATTAAAATATGCCAGAAATATAGAAAATCATCCAGTTTGCATGTAATTTGTCCAGTTAATTAAAACCCGGTTTGAAATATATGCGGCTAGCTTTGGATAGCCGGCTTCCACATCTATGTCTGTGGACTGGTCACCTCAGGTCCACATACGGATGCGGTGTTTGGTTTGGGGATCGGCGTTGGAGATGTCCTAAGGGCATCTCCAACAGTTTGTATGTTAGCTTGTTCGTAAAATATGACATGTCATCAACCAACACCTTAACATACAACAACTCCAATGGGGCGTATCTAGTTTACCCAATAGTGGATGTGAGATAATAAATAAGATGCTCTCTCATTTTACATTGGAGCTTGTGCAAGGGGTGTTGATTCATGTATATACAACCTTCCTCTCTTCCTTCATTTATTACATGACACATCATCAAAAATTCTATGTGGCAAAGTCTACCAACAACTATCTTACAACCATTGGAGATGCCCTAAGAGCATCTACAACCACACATACCTAATTTGAGTTGCCAAATGCCCACGGCTGGGCGCGTATGTGGACAGTGATAGGTCATACCTCAATTTTGTCTTCCCACAAACCATATTACTCACTTCACGATTTGCATTTCCAACAAAAGCATGCATTGGCATGATCTACGTACAACAAAACTACGACCAAATACACTGCTCGTCCTCCTCGTCAGAGATGTTGCATCTCCTCCAGCAGCTGCAACCACTCCTCTAGGGTGAGCATGGCTTAGGTGGTGATCCTAGGGTGGGCCATGGTTAGCGGTTGACGGCGATCAGACTGAAGGTGGCCGCGCAAAAAGGAGGAAGGGTATAGAAATGCGAAGTGGAGGACATGCTAGTGTTGGGATGCCGCCGTTCGGTTTAACTAGCCAAACTTGTTCCCTCGGGCGACACGCTGGAGCGGCGCCACACGACGCCATGAATGCATCCTCACCAAAGACCGAAGGAGGCGCCTGTTGGACCGACGATTTCTGCATTTGTCCGCGTGGACCCTTGCGGTCAGTTCTAGATGGCAGGTGCATACATGCATCCCCATATTCGGCCCATGTATGGGCTAGGTATGCGGAGTACCGGTCAGTCCAGACTTTTTGGCCGAATGCCAAGTTCGATGACAATTTTACTTCCAGACAGTGACTAGACAACCCACCCGGATGTTTGGGTGTGGACATGAGAGCAACTCCAACGCGGCGATCCATTTCGTCCGCTGCCATCCATTTGGGTCGCCGTGGACAAAAGTGACGGCCCAACGCGACGACCCATAACCAAAACGAGTTCACTTTGGGTCCGTGCAGACCCATTTCCGGCCTAAATCCAGGTCTGAAATGCTTCGGCGCGAACATGAAGCGGGCGCGCCGCGCATCCTCTCGGTGTCCGCCATGCCCCCACATGTTGGCCGGCTAACCACCGTCCGCGGTCATAGTAAATGTGCCCACCTACTTCTGTCCCGCTTGGCAGTGGGTGGAGTCGAGGAGTACGATCGCCGATTCTGTTTCAGCGCTCGTCGCTCGATGGCCTCGTCGCCTCGAGCCCTCGACTCCAGCCCACTCCAGCGCTCAACAGCCCAGGATTTGGGCCCTGTGCGGGCGGCACTTCTGGTACCACTGTGGGCCCGACCCCTGCCCCATTATGCTTGTTAGTTGGGTAATTTGAAACGAGAGAAATGCTAGGATATATAGGAAGGAATTGACGCAGCCGTTTGTACATCCTCAAGATTATTCAACACGACTGTAGGCTTTGGGTCACAACATGCGGCAGACACTCCAGCTCTTGTACGCTTTGAGTGTGAAGGGAGGAAAGAAGGGGAGAAGTTAACTTAGAAGCTTCTTTTCTTTTGTTTGATCCTTTCTCCTTTTGCCGCCCATGTTTGAACTTGTGTGGAGGTAAACTGAATTCTTTTCCCTCACACATAGTACAAGATCAAAAGCAAAGGGGAAAATAAAAAGTCCTATGCAAAAGAAGAGAGGAAACTCCTCCTCCTCCTCCTATTGAGTTGCAAGTTGCAACAAGCCAGTTTGCTAATGCTCCCTCCATTCCTAAGTATAAGTCTTTTTCAGAGATTCAATACTCCATAAGACTATGCTTCCTAGTTTTAAAGAGTCCACGCTCAGTTGAGGTCTTCAAATTAGAGTTGGGTCACCCGATTTTGCTTTCTCGTTCAATTATTGTATATTGTTGGCTCACACTATGCTCCTAACTTTTAAGCCTTGGGCTAGTGGTAGTGGGAGTATCATAGCTAGTATGGACTAGATACGGAGCAAAATGAGAGAAGCTACACTCTAAAATATGTCTGTATGCGTCCGTCGTGTATGTAGTATGTATTGAAATCTCTAAAAAGGACTTATATTTATGTTTAGAAAATCGGAGGGATAGTCAGGGGTGGATTAAATTTGTTCATTGTTTGTTTGTTTGTTTGTGGGGTAGTGGTATTGGTGTTGTTTCTTGTTTGGGAGGGAGCGCCCGCGCCCGAGTGTGGTCACCAGTCTCCTCTACTGTTGCTCTCGCCAGCCAGCCAGAGTCGCGTCGCCTCTCCGTCCCTCCTCCGTCGTCGTCTTCCTCTGTCCTCGTGACCACTCTACCTACCGCTCTACGCCACTCCACTCCTCCGCTACCCGCCTCCCGAGACCCCGTCCGTCTCCACTTCCGCCAGCTGGGCCATCGCACACTCACATGCTCACCCTCACTCTCTCACCTCCCACTCCACTCCTGCTCTGCTGCTCTCCTGCACCTCGGCTCAGCTCCACGCCTTTCTCTTCCACGGAGCAGCACTCCATTAAAGACAGCGAGCAGAGCACCGAGGAAAGAGGAAAATCCTCTCTTTAAACAAAGCGAAAAAGGGAGCCCCAAAGCCGAAAAGCCAAAGCGGCAATGGCGTCCTAGATTCCAGACCAGAGCAACAACTGAGCAAAGCAAAGCAAATCAAAACCAAGCAGAGCAGAGAGATTTCCCACTCTCACTCATCTCC